CTGTGCTACGCCCGTGCTTACCTTGCTCCCGGAGACCCGGTCCCTCTCGGGAGGGTAACAAGGGAAAGTGTTCAGTGCAGATCAGTGACTAAGCACAAGCCCGCCTGTGCTTACCTTGCTCCCGGAGACCCGGTCCTTCTCGGGAGGGTAACAAGGGATACCACTGCTGATGTCAGAAGGATCTTGGATGAAAACAGAGAACACCAGAAACATGTTCAGCGGTCTTTCATTGACTATGCAAGGCATTCGACTGTGTGGATGTAACAAATTAGGGGTAACTCTGAGAAGAATGGGAATTCCAGAACACTTGATTGTACTCATGAGGAACCTGTAGATAGAAGGAGGCTGTTGTTTGAACAGAAAAAAGGGGACACTGCATGGTTTAAAACCAGGAAAGGTGTGGGTCAGGGTGGTATCCTTTCATCATACTTATTCAATCTGCTTGCTGAGCAAGTAATCTGAGAAGCTGGATTATATGAAGAACGTGGCTTCAGGAGTGGAGGAAGGCTCATTAACAACCTGCAATATGCAGATGACACAACCTTTCTGGCTGAGAGTGAAGATTATTTGAAGTACTTCTGGATGAAGGTCAAAGACTACAGCCTTCAGTATGGATTACACTGCAATATAAAGAAAACAGAAATCCTCACAACTGGACCAACAAGCAACGTCATAATAAATGCAGAAAAGATTAAGGTTTTCAGGGATTTCATTTTACTTGGATTCACAATCAACACCCACGGAAACACAGTCAGGAAACCAGACAACATACTGATTTTTTTTTTTTTTTTTTTTCTGCAAAAGACGTCTTTAAAGTGTTAAAAAGCAGAGATGTCACTCTTAGGACTAAGGTACGCCTGACCCAAGGCATGGTATTTTCAATATGGGAAAGCTGGATAATGAGTAAGGAAGACTGAAAAAGAATCGATGCCTTTGAATTATGGTGTTGGCAAAGGATGCTGCAAGTACCGTGGACCATCAGAAGAACGAACACATCTGTCCTGGAGGAAGTGCAGCAGAACGCTCCTTGGAAGGGAGAGCGGCCAGACTTCGTCTCCCCTTCCTTGATCATGTTGTCAGGAGGGACCATTCCCTGGGGAAGGACATCACGTGCGATGATGTGGAGGGTCAGCGAGAAACAGGAAGACCGTCGACAAGAAGGACCGACACTGGCAGCAAAGACGGGCTCAGGCATAGCAGGGATTGTGAGGCTGGTGCAGCACCAGGCGGGGTTTCGTTGTGTTGTGCACGGGGTTGCTGTGAGTCAGAGCCGACTGAACGACGCCTTAAATCACACCAAGTTTGCCAATTCACTAACAACGTTTAACACTAATGCTCTTCTCAGACATCTTTAATGAATATTGGCATGTTCTTTTGGTGGAAACACTGTTTTTGAACACATTCTTTCGTGGCCTTGTAGGATTTGGGAGTTGTTCACTTGTGAAGAGCTAAGGGTTACAGCACTGTTTAATCTGCCAGCTTTGAAAAATGTCCATGCATATAATCTTAGGAACATAAAAACATTTTCAGCATTTCATACTGAATTTTTCCACCTTATAGAAGTTTCCAAAACACTTTGGGCACTACAAAAAGGACATGGTGGGGGTTGGCCTCTGACCGCCTGTAACTCACAAGGGGGAGAGAGTCCCCCTCAGCAGCCTCAGGCTGATTCCTATGAGGCAGAGGTCAGACATGCCGCCCCCTCCAGGCAATTCTGACACCACCCGACCCTCCCACGGCACTCTCTCTGCTGGGTTTGAGGATTCATTGCAGTGGCCACACAGAACTCTTACACAATACTCACAATTACGGGGTTTATTAGGAAAGTAACAGGTTACAATTCAGGTTCAGGAACACTCAGGATATAGTTCTTGGATCAGGACAGCTTCTCGGCTGCGCTGCAGGCACGTGGCTGTCTGGCCTCAGCCTCTGCCCTGCTCAGGCCGGCCTTACAAAGCTCTTTCTCCTCTGTTGATAGGGGCCCAGAGAGGCGCCCCACCCCGCCAGCAGGCCTCCTGCCCCGGGGCCCTCAGCTTTCTTGCTCTGTGAGCCGGCAAGCCCACCTCTCCGTCCTGTGCAGGGCTCTGTTCAGCTGCTTCTGCTGTGGTTCTCCGCTGCCCCTCCCTGTCTCTCACTCCCCGAGCAGAGTGCCGCAGCTCTTTCTCTGTCTCCTGGGTGGGGGGATTCTGTGCAGGGATCTCAGGTCCAAAGGATGTGCCCCACTCTTGGCTCTTCTTTCTCGATGGTAGTGAGAGCCCCCTTTCCACCTCTGGGATGACAAATCCTGTTGTTGTTATGTGCCGTGGAGTCAGACCCGACTCATAGCACCCTGCCCTTGGGTTTCAGAGGCAGTATCTCTATGGAAGTAGATTGCCCAACCTTCCTTCTGAGCAGTGGCTGGTGGGTTTGAACTTCCAGCCTTCTGGTTAGCAGTCAAGTGCCTTAGGCACTATGCTACCAGAGCTCCTATGACAAAGCCTGTTGTTGTTGTTATGTGCCATCAAGTCAGACCTGACTCATAGCGACCCCTCCTTGAGTTTCCGAGGCAGTATCACTACAGACGTAGATTGCCCAACCTTCCCAGGAGTGGCTGGTGGGTTTGGTTAGCAGTCACATGCCTTAGGCACTATGCTACCAGAGCTCCTATGACAAAGCCTTGTTGTTGTTGTTGTTATTTGCTGTGGAGTTGGCCCCAACTCATAGCGACCCCTCCTTGGGTTTCTGAGGCAGTATCACTCTGGAAGTAGGATTGCCCAACCTTCCTTCCAAGGAGTGGCTGGTGGGTTTGAACCGCCAGCCTTCTGGTTAGCAGTCAAGTGCCTTAGGCACTATGCTACCAGAGCTCCCATGACAAAGCCTAGTGGGTGCAAAACTGACAGTCCCCACGTTAAGTTTCCCTACACCTTATTTCCGTGTTTCCACCCCCACGAGGGTGCCATGTACCTCAGTTACGTTGGTAACGTGCTATCCCATCCCCTTGGTGAACCACAAGCACCTCACATTTGCATAGTCCCGCCCAGTCTTCTGGTGGGAGCCACTGAGAGCGTGGCTGGAAGAGCCGTGTTCAGTAATTCACTGCAGGACCATCTGAGCTGGATTTGTTTGTGCTTTTGGCAGTCCATGGTATATTTGCCAACACCAAAATTCAAATGCATCCGCTCTTCTTCAGTCGTCCTTATTCATGTCATGATTTTATGATTTTTTTAAAAAACTTTTTCATGTGCTTTGAGTGAAAGGTGACAGAGCCAACTGGTTTTCCATCCAACTGTCCTCACACGTGTTGTTTCGTGACACTGATTCCAGTCCCCACGATGCGGCAGCACTCTGCCCACTTCCTCCCTGTGGTTACGGTCTCCATTCGTCTTCTTCTATCCCAACCTGCCTTCTGCTTTCTCCTGGGCAGATGCTGCCCTCAGGGGTGGTGGCTCTAAGGAGTGCAGATGTACCTGCTGTTCTCGGTCACCCCATAGGCCTGTCTAGCATTGGCTGAAAGGTGAGCCACTGGGGTGAGTCCAGTTCCAGCCCTGTAGGGTGACCAAGGGCCGTAGTCTCGGGGGTTCCACCAGTCTCTGTCAGACCAGTAAGCCTGGCCGTTTTTACGATTTTGGGTTTTGTTCCACATTTTCCTCCTACTCTATCCAGGAGCTTCTGTTGTGAACCCATCCAGAGTAGTTGACTGTAGTAGCCAGGCACCATCTAGCTGTTCGGTCTCAGGGTTGTGGAGGCTGGGCTCAGGTGGTCCACTGGGCCCTCGCACTAATTGTTTTCCTGCATCTTTGGTTTCCTTCACTCGTCTTTGCTCCGGAAGGGGAGAGACCAACAGTTGCACTTCCTAGTAGCATAGTGCCTAAGGCACTTGACTGCTCACCAAAAGGCTGGTGGTTCAAACCCACCAGCCACTCCTCAGAAGGAAGATGGGGCAATCTACTTCTGTAGAGATACGGCCTTGGAAACCCAAGGAGGGGTCGCTATGAGTCAGGTCTGACTTGATGGCACATAACAACAACAACAGGCTTTGTCATAGGAGCTCTGGTAGCATAGTGCCTAAGGCATTTGACTGCTCACCAGAAGGCTGGCGGTTCAAACCCACCAGCCACTCCTCGGAAGGAAGGTTGGGCAATCCTACTTCTGTAGTGATACTGCCTCGGAAACCCAAGGAGGGGTCGCTATGAGTCAGGGCCGACTCGATGGCAAATAACAACAGTGGGATTTTAATGGCTTGGTTGCCTCTGCTTAGCTCCCCACCTGCCACTGGAGGGAGCAGCTGCAGAGAGAGGGACCCAGGAGGGGGGACTGAAGGTCAAGACAGAGGACTAAGCAAGGTGGTCCTGAGGGGCTGAGAGAGTGCCAAGGGGGAAGGGAGGCAAGTTGAGGGGGGACAGAGACTGCCGGGAGTGGAGGAGAAGGTGGCCCTAGAGCCCAGCACCGCCTCAGTCCCTGCCCATCCAGCTGGAGTGGGGGACTGGCAGCAGCCTTTCAGAGCTGTTCCGTTTGGAGGGGCAGTCTGGGCGGAGCCTCCTAAGAGCCTCTCCTGCCTGGCCCAGGAAGGCCAACAGCTTGGTCAGAAAGCCCCCTGCTTTCCCTACTCTTGTGCCCCGCCCATCCTAGTCCCCTTCTGTCTTCTGCCCAGAGCTCCTAGCATCCTCTGAAACCCTGCTGGGAATGCTCTCTCCCTAGTCTTCCCAGGACCCTGCCTCCAGGCACCAGGCAGCTAGTCCCTGGGCGACCTCCACACCCCTCACTGACCTTGTCTTTACCCGCCTGTCCCCCCACCCCTGCCTTCCACCGACACTCACTGAACTGCTTTGCAGTCCGCAGAATGGGCTCAAATCTTGGCTCCCTCACGTAGCAGTGAGTGACCGTGGGCACGAGATTGGCCCTCGCTGCCTCAGTTTCCCCGGCTGCCCCGCCCGCACAGGCTGGAGGACCCCCGATGTGGGCGCGGTCCTGGAGGGGCGTCCAGGCCTAGAGGCGGCGTGACGTCACAGAGGGGCGGTGCCGCCGCGAGGACTCCCAGGGGCCGGGGTGGGAGGGGCGGGGTCCTGGTGGCCATTGGCCGAGGCAGGGCGGCTGCACACGTGGGGCATCTCCAGGGCAACCGGACGCTGCAGGGGCGCGGCGGCCATCGCTGGCCTGCGCGGCCTTTGGCGACCTCGGGGTCCCTGTGCGCTCCGTGCAGCTCTCCGATCGGGGTGCGGTGGGGTCCCCGCAGCAGGGGCGGCGAGTCGCGGTGGGGCGGCGGGGCTTTCCAGCCCCGTGTCCCCGAGCCTGCCTGGCTGTCCCCAGGGGCGAGTGGGGACAGGGAGGACACCTGGAGGCCTGATCCCGCGGGTGGGCAGAGGGGCCGGGCGCCCGCTGCGGGTTCCCAGGACCCCTTCGGGAAGGGCGACCCCGCTGTCCGCCGCGCCCCTCTGACAGTGACCTAGGTCACGTGGGCGTCCGAGGGCCACCCCACAGAAGGGACTGGATCATCTTCGGCGATCCCACAGGCCCCAAAGGGAATTTAGGAGTAGGCCTGGTGGGGGGCGGCCGGCTCCTGGAGCCAGATCACTGGCGAAGGCTGTTTCCCGAGCTTGTGGGACCTGGTGGCATGTCCCCGGGCGCCCACGTGCTCCTGGCAGCCCTCAGTTGCCTTAAGGACGAATGCCCTTCCAGTTTGCTTCCAGGTTCAGAGAGACATGGAAGGTGTTGGCTCGGCCTTGGCCTTTGGAGGAGAAGCTTGGAAGACTTACAGCTCTTCAGTGAGCCTGACTGGGACCAGCAGTGACCCCGATGCCACTGAGGACCCGGGGGACCAGGAGAGCTGTGCCTTCTTCCCCAAAAGGTGCGGGGTGGGCCCTTTACACAAAGGGGCAGCCGAGAGGCAAGTCCCCGGTCAGGTCCTCCCCCTTCTGCTGGATAGCCTCATCCCGGCACCCTTCTGTCCATCTGTCCGTCCTGCCAGTTGGCTTCCTTCTTGAAGCTGCTCCCAGGGCTTCTGTTGGACTGGGGGGATGTGTTCCTCCCTTAGCCTTTCCTCAGCCCCCCTCCCCACGTCCCTGGTTCTGTCTGCTCTGCGCACTCTGCAAGCTCACGAGACAGATGACCCTGCCCAAGGGGGGCACGTGAGCTGGCCATGGCAACAGGGGCCAGGGGTCCTGGCAGTGCAGCCAGCCCACCCGTCCGGGGCTGGAGGGGTTCTGCCCCCAGGCGCCAGCACTTACCTTGTCAGATGCAGGTTTGCACCCTTCCTGTCCCATCCACGTCCTGGGTGACCAGGCGTGCTCCATACCTCAGTTTCCCTTTCTGCAGAGTGCTGATAACAGCAGCAGCCCTCACTCGGGAGGTGTGGGGGGAAGTGAGGTGAAGTGTGTGGAGCTGGGCCCCATGGCTCCTGGACTCAGCCCCTCCCCTCCTCTGCCTGCCTCTTCCCAGGGACCTGGCAACGGAAGACGAGGAATCTGACGGCCCGTTGGGGCAGCAGGACCTGAAGGAGGCCTATGTCCAGCTCGTCCAGGGCACGCAGGAGTGGCACGACGGCTGCACCTACCGCGGCGAGTTCGGGCTGCACACGAAGCTCGGGTTTGGCGAGTTCTCCTGGCCCACGGGCGAGGTGACTGCTGCTGGCCTCCTCCTCCCCTGGGGCCAGGAGCCAGGCTCAGTGGCAGGGCTCCGTCCTAAGAGGGATGTGATGGGAATGCTTAGATCCCAGGGCTGGAGGAAGCCCAGGAGGCCAACATCATCTCTCCTTGAGAAATGCCCAGGGGAAAAATGGGGATCCACCCTACTGTAGGTTGCCCAGGGGCTGTAGGTGCTGGTTTGGGGTGCAGTGACTGAAGATCAATTCTTATTCTGGGCAAATGTTTTTCAGTTGTGTGTTGCTGCAGCGTGATGCGTGTTTGCATGGGTACCGCTGACTGACTTTGAGATGAAAAGGAGGGTGAAGGCTCAGATGACAGTGCCCTCTTCTGGAAGGGGCCTGCAAGGGACTCTGTCCAGGACCTCGGCAGAGACTCAGAGGGCGGCTGCCCCCTTGGGCGGCCGAGGGGCTGCACTTGGTGCCTGGGTGGGCGGTGGGCTGGCTTCTGGGCTGCAGCGCCATCTTGTGGGTTTATAGCATCCCTGGGGGATGCTGGGTTTTGAGGATTTCCTGATGCAGTGAGTGTCCCAGCTGCATGGGGCACCCTGGGGGCACCTGTGTGACTCAGAGGAGGCTTAGGTGGGGTCCTCTGCTTGAATGTGCTAGAGACCCCACAGTGTGTGTATTTTGGGGAAGGAGTCCTGGTGGCACAGTGGTTAAGTGCGCAGTTGCTAACTTAAAGGTCAGAGGTTCGAACCCACCAGTGGCTCCACTGGAGACCGCTGTAGCAATCGACTCCCGTAAAGATTAAATACCAAAAAGCAGATCTGTTGCCACGGGGTCGATTCCCACTTGTAGCGAACTATGGGACAGAGTGGAATTGCCCCACAGGGTTTCCAAGGCTGTCATCTTTATGAAAGCAGACGGCCTCATATTTCTCCTGTAGAGCAGCTGATGGGTTTGAACTGTTGACCTTTTGGTTAGCAGCTGAGTGCTTAAGCCACTCACTGTACTACTGGGGCTCCTTCTGTAAAGACTGCAGCCTTGGAAACCACATGGGGCAGCTCCTCTCTGGCCTATAAATAGGTCACTCACTATGAGCTGGAATTGATTCCCCAGTAATGGGTTTGGTTTGGGGTGTGTTGGGGGAGTCCCTGGTTCTCTGGGAGCTGTCTGCTGGGCGCCTACTCTGGGTAACGCCTTGAAGACAGCCTGAAGGGATTCCCATTCCTTGCTAATCAGACACCTCGGTTCACAAGGTGTCCTGTAAGGTTCTGGGGGTGACCAGGCAGAGTGGCTTCTTGGATGCATGGCCTTGCTAACCGCCCTTCCTTGCAGACGTACCGTGGGCACTTCTACCAAGACCACCTCCACGGCTTGGGCACCTACACGTGGCCTGATGGCTCCACTTTCACCGGCACCTTCTACCTCAGCCGCCGAGAGGGCTACGGCTCCCTGTACCTGAAGACAAGGCTCTTCCAGGTGGGCGGCAGGTCCGTGTGGGTGTGGGCAGCGGACGGAGGACACTCAGGCTCGGGGGGGTTGGTTTACCCAGATGCTGGATTCTTATTTTTACTGATTACGGAAATAATGAGTGACCAGTCGTTGGTGTGGTAGTCATTGCGGAAACAGGAAGGGAGTCCTGGTCACCTCCCTACCCCCCACCCCCCAAGCAGAGAGGAGGACGGTGGCGTAGCCTGCAGATTTCAGACACACCACAGGCGCTCCTTCCTAACGGGAACTGCGGCCCTCTACCTGGGCCGCTTGGAAACGTGGCCCTTTCCTGGACGACTCTCCTGGTTCTGCACATGGATGGTTCTGGAGTCCTGGTGGAGCATTCCAGATGGCGCACCCTGTCAGCGTTGGCTTGTCCAAAAATTCATGATTTCCACTGCACTCTTGAGGGGTGTTTTCACAGGCTGTGGAATCCAAGGTGGCCAGTTAGCTTTCCCCAGGAGCAAGGAAGATTCTGTCCAAAATATCCACTCCTCCTCATTCTTCCCCCTCCCCTCCCCTCCCCCTTCTTCTCTTCTCCCTCCCCCTCC